CTCTCCTTTTCTTTCTCTCCCTCCCACTCACCACTCCTTACCTCTTTCTTTTTCCCCTACCTCTCCTCCACCTCTCACCTTATTTTCTTTCTTTTCTTTTCTCCATCCCTTCCTTCTCTTTCCTTTCTCTTCTCCTTCCTCTTCTTCCTTCCCTTACTTCTCCCCTACTCCTACCCTCTGTCCTCTCCTTCCTACCCTCTCTTTTCTCTCTTCCTCCCTCCTCTCCTTTTCTTTCTCTCCCTCCCACTCACCACTCCTTACCTCTTTCTTTTTCCCCTACCTCTCCTCCACCTCTCACCTTATTTTCTTTCTTTTCTTTTCTCCCTCCCTTCCTTCTCTACTTCCTTCCTTCCCCTTCTTCCTTCCCTTACTTCTCCCCTACTCCTACCCTCTATCTTCTCCTTCCTACCCTCTCTTTTCTCTCTTCCTCCCTCCTCTCCTTCTCTTTCTCTCCCTCCCACCCACCTCTCACTACCTCTTTCTTCTTCCCCTACCTCTCCTCCACATCTCACCTTATTTTCTCTCTTTTCTTTTCTCCCTCCCTTCCTTCTCTACTTCCTTCCTTCCCCTTCTTCCTTCCCTTACTTCTCCCCTACTCCTACCCTCTCTCTTCTCCTTCCTACCCTGTTTTCTCTCTTCCTCCCTCCTCTCCTACTCTTTCTCTCCCTCCCACCCACCTCTCACTACCTCTTTCTTCTTCCCCTACCTCTCCTCCACATCTCACCTTACTTTCTCTTTCTCTTTTCTCCCTCCCTTCCTTCTCTACTTCCTTCCTTCCTCCTCTCCTTCCCCTTCTTCCTTTAACTTTAAACTTTAATGGTATTTGTATGCCGCCCACTCCCTAGGGACTTCCTTCCCTTCCTTCTCCCCTACTTCTGCCCTCTTTCTTCTCCTTCCTACCCCCTCTCCTTCTCTTTGTCTCTCTTCCAACACCGTTGTTAAGTGAATCTGGCTTTCCCACTGACTCTGCTTGCCAGATGGTCACAAAAGGTGATCGCATGACCCCGGGAGACTGCAACTTGCATCATAAATATGGACCACCTTATGAGTCCCCTTGGGGGGGAAAAGGGCAACATATAAATATAATAAAATCAATCAAACCAGTTGTCAAGCATCTAAATCACATGACCATGGGGATGGCTGCAACAGCTGTAACTGTGAAAAATGACTGCCAGTCCCTTTTTTCCCCCCAGTGCCGTTGTAACTTCGAACGGCCGCTGTTGTAAGTCGAGGACCCCCTGTAGTCTGCACATGCTCAGGAGCTATTTAAACATTCCTCCCTCTCTCAGAGCTCCAGGAGGAAGTCCTGGTATTGAAGCCTGGGAGTAGAGCGGGGGGAGGTTGAATTCTGCCTCTCCAGCAGAGAGGAAGATCCAAGAGGATTCCCCTCTTTGGCCAATTGCTCCTTGCAGGCTACCGGCTGCTGGGAGAAACGGGGGATGCCCTTTTCCCCGCGGAAGGAGAGAAAACCCCGGGAATTTCGCAAGAGAGCCGCTGCTCAGCCCCGAGTCCCAGCAGCGGCAGGCGTGGCTGGTTGCGCGCGCTCGCCAGCACCTTCCCTTACTCCTGCGAGGAAACTGTGAGGAACGACCTCCTTTGGCACTTACCTTTCCTCCCTCCCTCGGGAGATTCAGCAAGGAATAGTGGGCTCTCGGAGTAAGAGAACCACCCCGAGGGGAAGGGGGGGGGCTGAAAGAAACGGGGCTTTAAAAAGTAACTTTTCCTCTAGGCTCCCGATTTTTCGCTGCCGTCGAAAGACGGGCGACCGGATTCCAGGAGAAACAAAACCTCCCCACTCCCTGACCAGGTGAGGTGGCAACACCTGAGCCCCTAACTTCTCTCTCTTTTCAGGTTCTGGCGAAGACGCCCCATGTTCAGACGTTCACACCTCAAAATCCTGCTTATTGGGAATTCAGGGTAAGCCAGCACGAAGCTTTATTTTTTTTGGGGGGGAGGGCGCACGGACATCAACCCCCCCCCCTCCTGGAAAGAGAAAAGTCCGGAGAGGAACCGGACGCCCAGGCTGTGTTTGCTAAGTGGGTGTGTAGCCTGTAGTAAAGGCACCTGCTGCTCCTCGGGGACGGGGGAGGCTGAGTAAAGGGAAGTGAAGTGGATCTGAAGACTGGGGGGGGGGGAACCTATCTGGCAGATGTTGTCTTTAACAGGGAGTCCTCGACTTAGAACCAGTGGTGGGATTCAAATAATTTTAACAACCAATTCTCTGCCCTAATGATTTCTTCCAACAACCAGTTCACCAAACTTAGCAGTAGCAATAGCAGTTAGACTTATATACCGCTTCATAGCAATAGCAATAGCAGTTAGACTTA